CTGTCCTTGGGCGTCCAGAGCGGGGAAGGTCAGCGACTGTGCCCGTTTTGTCAAAGTTCGAGTTGATACGGACGATCGAATTCCGGCTGACAGTTTCTCCATTGAATTTCCTCTTGAATTGTCGAGCAGTTTCCGCTGCGTTCTGGTCGAATTTGGAATAAAGGCGAACAATTGCAACTCGCATATCAACACTCAGTCGTTTCTCGCTCTTTTTCCAAGTGTTCCAGGGATATCAATTACAAAGGACATAGTTCATCAGACATTCATTCAAACCCAGCACGCAGACGTGGTTTCAAGTATGAACGAGTTTAAATACCAAAAAAAGAGATATTTGATTTACCTCCTCTCAATTGTTACATAATGAACATAATGAAATGAAATCCAGTCCATATATAGAGATTTGTCTTGTCTTTCGAATGGTGCAAACCGCATTTTAATCCGATCAGGCATTCCAAAGTTATTAACATTCAAATAGCGGAGGGGACTTTTGACTCACCCTGTATATAGTACATATCCGCAGACTGTAGCAAACTCAAATGAAGAATAGTTATGTCTTTGAAACATAACTATCTGATTTCTATGCAGAACCATCACTCAGGGGATAAATATTCAACCAACAAATGGATAAATATTGATCCTTTTTCTCACGGATGCTATTTTGAATAATGTTCACGTTAGGCCACTTGAATGGTTAACTCTCTAAAACTGCAAATCGAAAGGAATAAAAAAAAATTATTCGTGCCTTTTGGGGTTTAACAACCATCTGTCAAACCCTTTGATGAGGTCTTTTATCGACATCTGATCATTTTACCGGTATATCCCTCGGAAGGTTAAGGCCCGAATTTCAAACCTCCCTTAATAAACGGTCCTCCATGAATCCTTGAACTTCTATGGAAGGAAAAGAGCATTCAGCCAAAAGGCTCCTTAATTCCCCCAAAAGTGAAGTTTGTGCGTTCTGGCCTAAACCCTAAAATGCTTTTGCCAACTGTGTACGAGGAGTACACAGATATAAATTTTTATCTTGTTATGTTGTTGTATGAATAGTCCAAGAAAAAAAAACCCAAGTCCCTGAAGTCTGTCCAACATATTAGACCATTTGTTTCTCAGCCATTTCCATATCAGACTTGCACTTCTTGCCTACTTAAATGCATCTGCTCGAAGCTAAGAAAATCACAATGAAAAGACCGCCAACTCTGTAATTGCCAATCCAGAAAGCGGCATAATTTTATTTTCATTTTCTTCAAATGAAGATAATGTCTCAAAGGTGAGGGCTTTCGACGGGGCAATGTCTCGGCGGGGGTTCATAATCGCTCTCATATTCTGGGTATGTCACGTCCTTCACTTCCTGCAAGAAAAGACCAGTCCACACATGACCAGGCGAACAGAATTTTGTAAAAATAAATAATAAAAGGGATTCATACAAAAAGGTCTGGATTTCGTCCGCAAAGAGCTAGATGAGGGCCGAATCGAACCGCTTCTTGATAGGCTTTCATATCGAAGTCCTCCCAATCGAAGTCCCTGAAGTGCTCCTGGAGGGTCTGGTTCGTCGCGTCCACTTCCCAGTCGATGGATGCCCTTTGGAATAAGGAAGCAATATGCTTACTTCATGAGACTCATGCTTGTACTCGCGAATTGACTTGATTTTGTTTCATTAACTGCATTTCTATTCGTGCAGTTAATAAAACAGCTTATTTCAGTATATTATTTCGTTTACGTTTTCTTAACATTGTCTTCATGAGAGTTTTTTTGTTGTTGTCATTGTTGGTCTGCACATGAAAACATTATGAGGACATTACACTTCTGAACTTGAGTATCGCTGGTCTTTTGTAGAAAGAAATTAATAATTTATATAGCATGACCAGCCTGTAAAATCGATCTGTATATCATGGGAATATTAAGAATGAAATTTTCCATGTTCTTCTATATAAATGCCAGGGAATTATACATGATTATGCAGTTTTAGAATTTAATAATCACAACTTTCGATACGCAAGTTGGTCTAACTTGGATTGTCTAAAGATGGAGACCGATGGAGTTAATCGAAGGATGGGGAAAGGATGGATGAGTTTGGCAATTAAGGGGCTCAGAAAAACCTATTGGAACTGTATAAGTTATTTTCATTTCATTTTTCTCAAGAACAGAGGTTCTTAACCTTTTTGCACCTACGGTGCAAAAAGGTTACCTTACCTTACCTCAGATCCAAGGACCCCAGGGTAAGAACTTCTCCCCTATAATATATATAATGCATTTTTGTGAAGCTGATTGCATCCAGTGATTGTATAGTTCGATGATTTTGTTAACGCAGAGATCATTAGGACAAATGAATCGAAATTGATAGGGGTTCTACATAGCAAACACTATCGCGATTATTTAGCAACAGGCTTGACAAATAGTCTCTATCCTAAATGCCTTAAGTTCCCAGGCGGATGTCGAACTTCACATCCTGTCCTCCGGATGAGACACCCTTATGGGAAACCCTATATGATCCGATAGGATTCTTAAAGAACCCTATAGGATTTCTATAAGAATCCTATACATATTTTATGCTACAAAATCTCATATGATCATACAATATGTTTTCGTAAGAGCGTGCACCCCCTCCTCCTTCCACCCTGTCATTCACCTCTGGTGGTTACAGGTGCACGTTCTGTGAGGGCTGGTCACTTGTATACGAGAACGTCAACTGCAGTCCATTTATTTTAGTCTCATTACACCGGACAATTGAGAACTTACGGATTGAGATGGATCCCACCGACTTGAAAGAGGGTGTGAAAATACTTATAGTCCACGTTTGAGGCGCATTGGTTCAGCTTTTCTAACTTGGGATAATACATGAAGAACAATTGACACATCTCAGCATAAGTGGTAAATCCTCCCGGCGTCACCAAATCTCTTTCCAAGGAATCCAACTCGCATTCTGAAAAAGAACCAAAATTTCAACGCATTGACTGCCTATCTCAACCCGTATGCAATCGGTTCTGCTGCCATTGATGACTTGTCAAATGCACGTGGGCAGTCACGTGTTCATGACTTCCTCGGATTAAACTGAATTTCCTTTTAATTTATAATGATGTGCAGTTTAATATACAATTTCAATTCCGTATTAACACTTTTAAATTTAATTAAGTTTTCATTTAGATTTCATTTAGAATTAGTACCTGAGGTACCTGAAGTTACTTTCTTAACGCTACCGAACTGAATATCATCCTAGCATTGGAACTATCCCAGGAAGCCAAAATATTAACTAGGCCTTGTTGCTGGTCCAGTCTACGTCGGACTATTGCTGTCGTGATCGCTAATATACCTAGGTACGAGGATCATTCGATAATTATTGGCAACACTGTAATTAATCAAAAAGTATTTATTATAGAAACCTGAAATTTTACATGCCTTCGATATAATCTCCTGCCTTGTCGCAGACGCGCTGCCACACCTCTGGGAGACGTCTGACGCCGTTAGCAGCGTCACTTTTGGTGATATCCGCGACCGCCCGC